TAACCAATGGTCACCTAGTTACCTATGGTTAGTTACATGTAGTTACCTATAGGTTAACCAATGGTCACCTAGTTACCTATGGTTAACTGTAGTTACCTATAGAGTAGATGTTTTTTTTTACATTACTTAACAGTTTCTCCTTCCATCACATCATGGTTTTACGTTCTGTCACATCATGGTTTCCCCTTCTGTCACATTATGGTTTTTTCCAGTCACATTATGGTTTTCTCCTTCAGTCACATCATGGTTTTCCCTTCTGTCACATCATGATTTCCCCTTCTGTCACATTATGGTTTTCTCCTTCTGTCACATCTTGGTTTCCACTACGCCGTGACATGATTTCCCATTACATCACAGCTCTCGATCTGTTCACATCATGGTTTCCTCTTCCATCGTGTCGCCGTAGCATTACGACCTGCGCTTCATCGTGTCGTTGCAGGAACCTCGACCTGAGCATGGAATCAGACGTGTTCCAATCGTCGGCCGTCAACCACGTTCACGCCTCGCCGCGCGACGCTACCGCCGCCGCCGCCGCCACGTCTACCCCGCGTAACCCCGAACCTCCGAAGCAGCTGTGGGCGCAGGATGCGTCGCCGGGCGCAGAGGGAGCGGCCGCCGCCGCCGGGGTCAAGGGTCGGTCGTGGGCACGGACGGTCGTCGCGACGGCGTTTGTCATGACGCTGCTCACGCTCATTGCCATCGTGCTCGTCATGGAGCTCGACGCTCTGCGCGACCTCCGCGCGACACCAGAGGTCGCCGCTCTCCGCGCGCAGTACTACGCGCCGGCGAAGAGGGCGCTCGGCATCCCGTGAGGTGCGCCGGCGCCACCTGTCGGCGGAGGAACGGAGGGTGACGACAGAGGGAGCCACGGTGGGTGCATGTCGGAGGGAGTCGCTGACCCACCGGGGATCATTTCGTCATTGGTTTAGAGATCCAACTAGTTTCGCATCTAGTTGCCTGTTTCACTACGGATAAATGGAGTAGAGATTGGAGTAGTAGTTCCTTGATCAGCACTAGTACTATAGCACGTGAGATGCAGCATACCTTGACAAGCCTCAGGGCCTTTCCTGCACTGTCGTGCAAGCGCACGATTTTGCAGCAAATATGAAAGACCACAAATACGAATTGTTTTTGTCCTTATAAGGATGTGAATGCACAAATGAATGATACAGTGATTACAGCCAACTTCTATTTCTATCAGGGGTACTGGGTCACAGTTTTAATTGAACTATGTATCGCCGAATTAAACTATATATGTCGTTGCTGCGACCCGCACCCAAGCCCTGCCGACGAGCTATTTTACATATTTGTCGGAGAGACGTATTTTTACAGATTTGACATTCCACGAGGGAATCGTAGTAGATTAATCGTGTATCGTAATCATTTAATTACGTACTTTAAACATGTACATTCCACTGGCGACTATATTTACGGGGAGAGCGGTGGACGGACGGAATTTTTCGGTAACTTGTCCTGTACATATATATTTAACTGTCGCCGTTCGTTAAAAGACGACTTTTTAAATGGAGTGGATTCAATTTTTAACGTGCACTTGTTTCGGCGAAGTGATTAATGATCCATCATTTAGGCGTAGATGTAGTCGTAACGTCGTTGTCCATACTAATCCCAGCGTGGATAGCATTCTAAATAATCTTTTCTGGGCGAATAACATTTCATATCTAGGAACGCATATATCGTCACTGATCTGGTGACGGAGTCATCGCCTCCTGCGAGTTTGAAACTGTAATTTTAGTGAAGTGTAATTTTATAATCTCTAGGGACGCGTAGCCTAACACTAAATCAAAACTTTCACGATGGCTACTTCTATTAATTAAGGCATTCTGGCGTTGGGGTTGGGGGCACGGTTAGGGCGATGATTAACGTTGTTACCTAGTCTTCCCCCTATCCTGGTGCTCTCTTCCAAGAAACCCTAATCGCGTAATGTACAATGTACCAGACCATCTGGTTTAACGAGGGCCAAATTTACATACATACACCTGTCTATCAAATACAGAAATCATAACTGTGACGTCGTACATGCTACAGAACTATGACGGCGTGGACGCCACGGAACTGTGACGTACACGTCACAGAACTATGACGTACACCTCACAGAACTGTTACGTGCACGCCACATAAATATGTAGTGTAAACCACAGAACTAAGAAGTCTCGTCTGACGTGTTACTGCTCACCTGCGTCACGTGATGTACGGAGCAACGATGACGCTCATGCGCTGGTCTCCCCGGGAAGGTACTGTGGGCGTGGCCGAGCCTGCATCCTCGTGTTACGTCACCAAACGCTGCGAGTTTAGAATATAGTCGTTAGTTAATTTGTCGCTAAGACGTCGTGGTGTTCCCTGGATGACTAAACATACCGCAGGTTGCACATTCCAATTATTTGTGGAAGTACGGATGTCCTATATATACACGTTTACATGTACGTATATACGCGTACATATGTATATAACAACAGGTATAGGTTCCCGTTTGATTCCCCGTTGAAGATATTAGTCGGATTGTAGCGATACGTTTGTGCGTTTTTAGCGTTCTGTACGGAATCGTGTGCATGAAATTTTTCGCCTCTCGCGTTTTGGGTGCAGAGGGGAGAGAGATGCGTCTGCGCACTCGTGGGTGGTGGGTGTTTTTTTTTAAATGGAAAAAACGTGCTTTGTACTTGTGTTCTTTCTATACTCCCAGTGACCTGTTCGTGTTATCTCGCGTGATTTCCAAGCATCGTGCAGCTTCACAGAATCGTACCTCGCTTCACCCCCTAATTAATAATAGTGATAATAATTAGCATATTTATTTTTACCCGCCATTAATGCGTATTTAATTAGTAGTTACAATCGTTCTACAGGTTATTTGTCATAATTAATATTTTTGTAATACGGATGATGATGATGATGATGATGATGATGATGATGACGATGGTGTTGATGATGACGACGATGACGATCGTGATTATAAAGGAGAGGTGAGAGTGGGATGTACGGGGAGGCGGTATTGTGTTAATAGGTGGCAGGTTAAAATGTAATCGACTGCCAAGGTGTGACGCCCTGGCGGTTTTCGTAATGCGTGTGTTTCTGTGGCGTTAGAGTTTGAAACCGAGTTACTAGTGATTTCTACTGTTTTTACTGCGAGCGTTTTCGAGTCAGTGATATTATTAACTCGGACCATCGACGTAATTGGCGAACTGGCACGGCGATTGCAGGTGTATTACCTTATGATCGCAGGTGTGACATCTGTGATTGCAGGTGTGACATCTGTGATTGCAGGTCTGGCATCTGTGATTGCAGGTGTGGTATCTGTGATTGCAGGTGTGGCATCTGTGATTGCAGGTCTGGCATCTGTGATTGCAGGTGTGGTATCTGTGATTGCAGGTGTGACATCTGTGATTGCAGGTGTGTTACCTATGATCACAGATGTGGCATCTGTGATTGCAGGTGTGTTACTTATGATCACAGGTGTGATATCTGCGATTGCAGGTGTGCCATCTGTGATTGCAGGTGTGACATCTGTAATTGCAGGTGTGTCACCTGTGATTACACGTGTAACATCTGTGATTGAAGGTGTGACACCTGTGATTACACGTGTGACGTCGGTGATTGTAGTTCTGTCACCTGTGATTGCAGGTATGATCATCAGGTAACAACTCAATGTCGTTCCTATCTAGCGGGGAGCATCATCGTGTAGTGACAACAATTTACTATGTGTAGAAGAACTAGAATAAGGCATCGTCAATCGCGTCGTGATGAGCGTGGTTGTACTTGTAGCTTCAAATCATTACCTGGGTATAGGAAGACGGGAGAACGGGAGACACGTGTTGGTGTGTATAATTGTATGTAACTCACTAACTGTAAAGTTACGGAGAAGTTGGGAGAACTATAGATGTTCACGCTTGAGGTAGAAAGAACACTGTGCCATCGTATAGATGTAATATTGCATAAGGTGTAGTAGGAGACAAATAGACAGTATCGTTACGGCTGACTGTCGTTGTGGTTCTCGTTGCCGTGTCTCGCATTCAAACGCTACAAACGCGAGCGTACTGCAGTGAATATATACGAGTGTAGTCGTTGCGACGCTAGCGTCATCGCTCGGCTGTCGCGGTGGCGAACTCGTTTCAGAACTGTCGTGATCTTAGCATGGAATTTTAGTTTGCACGTTTTATCATATACTTACCTAAAATGTGAATAAAATCGAATAAAGATGACCAATAACTAAACGAGCGTCTTGATGTTTCATTATTGTTGCTGCTAGGAACTATGCCGCGGGTGTTGTATTGGTATCAGTCTTAGTAAGGATATATAACTACCTGGTACTAAAAATATAAAACGTTCAAGTGCCAATCTACGAAAACTGAGGGTGATACTCCATTAGGAGTGTTCCCAACTTTAATGTTATTAATGGTCATAATAACACATATATATATATATATATATATAGTATTTGTCTTATCGCTCCTGATATATATATATGGTCATGGTACATATATTAGTTTGTGGTTTAATTTCATTTGGGGTTAGGATTATCAATCATTAATCATTAATGATATCAAAGTTGGGAACACTCCTAATGGAGCGTTAGCCAAAACTGACGAGTAAAATCTGCATTCTTTGTGTCGCATTTCAGTGCTGAACGTTCATTAGCATATGGCACATTTACTTTGGCTGCAAATTTCGTGGGGTTTTATCTTTAGTAAAGGCGTACATTTATTTACAGGGTCCCCACAGCCCTTGAAAGTCCTTGAATTTTGTCCTTTGTCCCTGAAAGTTCTTAATTGTTCCTTTTGACATTGAAAGGCCTTGGATATAGGTTCAAGTCCTTATTTTATGTCTAATGTCCTGGAATTTTACATTTTTAACCTAAAATCAAAAAGCAATCTTCATTGCTGGTTATCTGACCAAGTCTTCAAAGTCTGACCTGATTCCAAGTCTTCGATAATAATGTTAAATTTAATCCAAAATTTACATGTCATTGTCTACTAATGTACCTACTCTAC